TACTGTTTCTACCTTCAAACTAATGATACTGTTTCTACCTTCAAACTAATGATACTGTTTCTACCTTCAAACTAATGATACTGTTTCTACCTTCAGCAGAATCAGCTACTGTGTAGGCGATTACTAGCCTGGGATTACTAGCCTTGGACTCGTGAAGGGCGCGGGTCTGTCCATGAATGCACTCTCCAGACTGCCCACTCTGATGTTTTTTAATAAATCCGCTTTCTTCTTGATTGCTTGCTAGTGTTTGAGGTCATTCAATAAATGACAATGAATATATGTTAATGACTACTACTGTTGTTTTTGCATTACCATCATCATCACTGTCTTCAAACTAACTGAACACAATGCAAATGTAATTGTCCTTACATTTTACTCTTAAAGCTTCGCTTTCCTGGGGAAGGAAGTGAGGCAGGGTCTGATGGGAAACTGAGACCCAGGGAGGAAAAAGATTTGCCAGAAGCTGGAAACCAGCTTCTCCCGAGACAGGAGAAAACGGAAGGCGGTGGGGACCAGAACAATTTATCACCCATCTCTGGCCTCGGCTGCCCTCTGTTGGACAATGTGGGAATAAAATGGTGGGATTGGGGCGTGGGTTCTTACCCAGCCCCAGCTTAGCCACCTCAGGTCACTCTTGAGATGCCCTCCCATTGAGGATCTACCAGGAGTTCCCTCCTATCCCCCCAGGGTACCCCCAAACCACTCTGGGGACACAGTAGACAGCTGGGGAAACAGTCCCAGGAGGGCAACCTCAGGAATGCGTCTCTTTCCTTGGGGCCTCGGCCCCTAAGGATAGCTCGCCCAGCACGCTCTGGCCTGGGATGGATTGCCTCCCCTCCCTGTGTCAGGCAATCCAGGAAGGCTTCTGGAGGATGACAGAGGTGTGACCTGGCCAGGGATCACCGTGATGTGAATGTTCATTACCTAATAATAACTGACTTATTATACTATGACGGCACAGTGGCTAGATATGCATTGAGCACTTATACACCAACCCTCCGTCCGAGCCCTTCTCATGCATTGCCTCAGAGTCTGTCTCTCACCTTGTGTGAAGGGAGTAGCCCCACTCTGCCGGTACCCCCGGAGTGCAGAGGTGCCTCGTCTGGGGATCAGCCTGCTGACCTCCACCAGGACCGGATGCCAGCCTCTCCTCTTGTCTCCTGCTACTGCCACAGCCTGCAGGTGCCCGTGTCCTACCCGCTTTCTCTCCAGAGTCTCTTCCCTCCCCATCATTGCCTCCCACCCTCAGTCAACACTGCGGTCCACAGCCCGGCCCCCACAGCGCTCTAAAACCATCAGACCGTGGCCCTCCTCTGCTCTGTATCCTCGGGGCCCCTGCTCTGAGTCACAGCCCGGGAGCTCCTGTGTGACCAGCCCAACAGTCTTCCCCAGCTCCAGCCCCCACCTGCTCCTCCCTAACCTCGAGCACTAAGCTAGTGTCTTACCTCCCGCCTCCCGCCTCTGCACTGCTGTTCCTTCTTGTCCAGGAAGACTGCCGGCTTCTCCCAGGAAGACTCCCTCCTTCCAGCCACCGGCTCCTTCCACTCACCTTTCAGGTCTCAGCTGACGGCACCTGCTGCCCGCACTTGGATGGGCCTTGCGGCCTCACGTTCCCTTCAGGCCCCGCCCTGCCCGAGCACCCATCACGGCCCTGATCACCCCGAGTCGTACTGGGTGGCAGAGTGGTCAAGGTCCCCAGCCCTGAGCTGGCGGTGCGCAGGGAGCACAGGCTGAGTGTGGGACTGGGGTGGGGGAGCAGAGCAGAGGTGAGGACCGCCCGGCACTGAGGCTCTCTGCCCCCCTACCCCCCTGGGGCCCTGGAGCTGCAGACACTGAGAGAGAGGCCCCAGGGCTCCTGACCTTGACCAGTCTGAAGAGGAGGGAGGTGGGGGGGCACTGTCCTGGGGGTGGGGAGACTGAGGTATACCCAAGTGGGATGGAGCACGGGCTTCTCTGCTTGCTCACTGCGTTTTCTGTTCTCAGCCTGCGTGTCCCTCGCTCTCGCCCTGTTCCTCTTACCGTCCTGTCTTGCCTCTCCCCTCTCCCCAGCATCTCTCTCCGCCCCCTTCACCCTCCCCCCTCCAGCCCCCATCTCTCTCTCCCTCACCCTCCCTGCGCCCTCTCCAGCCCTCTGCTCTCCCTGTCTCTCCCTTTGTCCCTTCCTGTGTTCTTTCTTCTCTCTCTTCTCCTCACCCCTCTCCGCTCCTGCCCCCCTCCCCCTAGCCCCCCAAACCAGATAGGGGTGGCAGCGACAGGGCAGGTGCGTGGCGGGCTTGGTGCCCGTGGCTGCTGGGGCCACCCCGGATTTGTGGTTGTGCCTCCTTTATCTGGGGCTGCAGCTGCCCCTTATCTTCTGGCTTCAGGGCACGAGCCCGGGATTAGGGCGCCGGGCAAGGACAGAGGCGCAGGGCGGGCGAGCGGCTCTGGGCTGCTGGCATCAGGCCTGCCTCAGCGGGGCGCCTGAGTGTGCCGCGTGTGGGCGGCTGTGTTTGTGTGTCTGCACCCCTCCGTGGGGTGCTGCTTGCACACGCGGGCAGCTGTGACTACATACGAGCGCCTGACCGCGGCGTCTGCGCGTGTGGTCGGGCGTCTGAGTGAGTGTGTGCCCGTGTGTGTCTGTGACTGGATACATCTGGGACTTGGGCGTGGGCCTCTGTGACGTGGTGTATACACCGGCGTGACTTCTGCTCCGGGTGTCCACAGACACATGCACGTGCTTGTCCAT